TACATCCTCGACAAAGAGGGCAGTTACAAGTGGAAGAAGGTGGAAAACACAGAAGATGTTGCTCTGTTCGTGGGATCCAACCATTCTGTGGCTCTCTCTACCGCCAAATTCCCTCGATTAAAACCTATCTCTGTCTGCTTCACCAAGTCCTACTTCAGCGGCATGGAGTTGGGTGGCGACACCGGAGTTTATCGTCTCCAACACGGGACCTTCGAGTTTTTATCAGCTAAACATGAGTGGTCACCAGGAGTTTGATTTCCTGGTGCCTATATGGTACATGACTGCAGCACTTCCACTCTCAACTCCTTCCTTCTGATGTGCCAAAATTATAATGTATCTGCTCATATACGTTACTGTCAAAAGTGCGGCAATTAACAAGGCGAACGAGTAACATGCCAATTTATATGAGTCTAGCAAAACTGGTCCTCAGCATCAAGCATTAAAGCAATAACTTTCATGCTCTATATGTATAGGATTCTCTTCAAATAAACCCAAAGGATGTGAATGATATACACATTCAAAGAAATAATATTCGACTTCTACATTCAAGTCTTTCAGTTGAGACTTATCATTTTTGAAGAGTATTGACTCGGGCATTGAACAATCCTTCGTCAAAACCAAGCCTCAACCCTCCTAACACTCTTCTGCGAGCACGAGTTGTCCAATCATTGGAGCAGCAGTCCCCTACGCTCCAAGAGGTCAACTTCCTTAAAAGAAACATCTCATGCCCTACAGTACCACCACTCTCATCATCATCCAAGTTCTGCTGCTTGAATCATATCACATAGGTGCATGACGAGCCCTTTTCTTCTGCTAACATTACTAAAATCATATTCTTCATAACATACATTCATGTTCATTTTTTGCTCTAAGAAAATTAAAATTACACATTGAATGATAGATTGTGACCAATATCATATTGCACCAGAACTCCAGAAGCCATACATAGATACTCTTTGATAGGTGAAAGGGGATCTCTTTGGATAGAACTGTTGTTAGAGTATAAAATTATGACACTTGCCATAATTCGGGGTTTTAGTGTGATGCAAGGGACTTTAATATGGTAAGAGCAGCCTAGGTTCAATTCTCAATGCAGACTTTATAAAAGAAAATGACAGTGAAAAATGGTGAAAAATGGTGTTCTGCGGGAGACGTACTAGAGTGACAGTTCAGAGTTTTGTTGTGCTGGAAGGGACTTTAACAAATCGGAGTTTTGGTGTGGTGGAAAAAATTACAGCCACTTGACTGAAAGCTGGAATATTCAGGATGATGAAGATAAGGCACTTATAAAGCCTACAGAACTCCGATGATTAAAATTCCCAGAGTAGATGAATAAAATTTGAAGGATGAAATGAGGAAGTAGACTGCAGAAGTAAGGGAGGATGAAGATAAGGCACTTATAAAGCCTACAAAACTCCAATGATTAAAATCACGAGAATAGATGAATAAAGTTTGGAGGATGAAATTAGTTAGTAGACAGCAGAAGAATGAAGCTTCAACAATAAAAACTAAAGGCAGAAGTTATCCTCAATGAGAATTCTCAATGAAAAAAAGCTTATAAGCTTGAGCCAGATAATCATGAAAAGACTAGTCGCCTATGTAAATGGAGAGAGTAAAAGTCACCTATGTAAATGCAGACAGTAAAAGGAAGTATCCAGGTTTGGATCATCCTTTGGAAGTGCACTTCCATAGCAGATGCTAAAGTCCGAGAGAGCCGGTTACATAAACCACCAAAAGAGAATTTCATCCAAAGAATAAATGGGACTGGAGCACAAATCCAATAGAAATTGAGAAATTTAGGGATATGTCTTACAGCTCCAGCAAGAGTAAATTTGCCAGAGAAAGATATCTTCATGGAATTGACATTTTCGAAGAAGATGCTAGATATTTTAACTGTAAAATGAGATTTTATGAGGTTTCGCCACGGCCGTGCAGTTACTAGGAGCTAATACAACCTGTTAGTGCTCAAGCTTGACAACACAACATGAAGAAGACAACAAACTCATAAGAAAGTGAAGCAAGTTGTTTAGCAGCAGATGACAGTGGAAATGATGATAAAAGGGATGGTAGAGTGTCTGATTGATGCACAAAGTAGGTATTTTGTGAATAATGAAGAGAGAAGTATCAGCCTCGTGCATTTGTTCTGATGTGTTAAATGTCTCCTGACATATGAAAGTGATGCTCAGGTGTTGAAATCAATAGAATTCGCATAGCAAACATTGTAGACCAGGTGGGAATTATAAAAGATGTGATGACACAAATATAATACCTGTACAAAAATTAACCTTCCAAAAGAAACAAAGTAGAATAATAAGTGTTGATTTTAAGTAGTTACTTGTCTTAAGATTCAAATACTCACAGGCAAGAATCACAAGTCAACAACAAGAATACTGCAAAATAGACTAATTTGCTTTATGAACTAGCGAAGATATTATGATGCACAAAATCCTTATTCCTTCAATATCAGTCGTCTCTGGAAATTTAAACGTCAAATTTTTGTCACTAAAAAAATAATCATTAACACCTTTTAGATGCAAACAAACATATTAGAAAACAAATGCCATTTCTGGGACCAGCAAAAACCTATCACAGCTATGAAAATTGAATCCCAAAAAAAATCATAAGGCATATGAACACTATAATGCTACGGATTAAAAGAGTGAGCTACACCAATCTATATATGGCATATCACATATATTTGCAAAATATCAGATACTATACATCACTGAACCAAGGGAACTCACCAAAACATTGTGCTTCCGAGCTTCTTATATACACTCCAAGCCTATCAAATAACAAGTCATGAACAAGTGACCAAGCCCTCAAGTCCAACCCCAATAAAAGTCTGCCTTTCCTGCTCCAGCGTATTTCTCACCGCTTGATATAGCTCAGCCCATGAGTGTGAAGCTGAATCCCCTAGTGTGTCTTCCGAACAAGTCAAAGTGGGAGTTGAGGGACAATCCCTAACCAAATCCAAAATAGTTGCCGGCCTCATCACAGTCCTAGGGAAACTGAAAGCTAGATTATCAACCTTATGCTCGTATATCTTTCCGCTTCTATCTAGCTTGTACCTTGATGTTCCTTGGAAGCGACCCTGAGCTTCCCATGGCACGCGTGGGACCCCCTGAAGCTCCCATCGGATGAGGATTGAGTTTTCCGAAGGCTGCCAAACCCTAAAGACCTCGATCCCGATTTCTTTGAAAAGAATACGTCCGTGGAAACGAAGTGCCCAGAAGATTAGCCGGTAATTGTCAATTCCTTGAAAGGTGTTGAGAGGATCTATGAACGTGATGTCTTCCCTATAAAGTTCCCAGAGAAAAAAAGTCAGAAGATAATAGCATTTAATAAGGGATTTCTGTGTGTGTATGTTCATCTTTTTCCCCTTCACCATGTGGGACAGGGGGATATTAGTGTGAACAACAAGGGGAGCTACTGTTGTGAAACGTAGTGATTTGTGTCTGCTTATATGCACGTGCACATGGTTCTGGAGTCTGAGTACAAGCGGTGTGGGTTTTGAGGGGAGCAAGCCTACAAGCAGAAATTAGCAAGGATTGAAATCTCAGGGTTAATCATGGTTTTGATTTGCCTTGCTGGTATCAAGTATCGGGTGTTTGGGGGTTCCCACATTTTATGATAAGCCAGTTTAATACAAATTCTCCTACCAATCAACTTTTAGTACTTCAATTCTCATATCTTCTCTAGTATTTTCCTTTTAGTCAATATTAATATGTATTTGTTGATATCAGATAAAATTGGAGGGATTATCTGGTTTTGATTGGATGGAATGCTTAAAATACTGACAAAATATGACCTAAACAGCTATACATATTGGTACAAATTGGTAAGTCAAACCTTAGAGATCTGGAGTTTCATCTCCTCCAAATATCGAAATAAATAAAAAGTTACTAAGACAAAACCCAAATCCAAAGTCCAGAATTCGAGTTAATGGTGACTTGGTGAGGCAAGAGGATACTTTCATGAATAGGATATATTATCTTAAAAGCTTGTAAAAGAAATTCTGTGTTGTGAGCAGAGAGGGAGTCTATCAAGTATCCAAAAAAGAAGACCATCATCATTCTATTAAGGAGAAATTAAACAGTAGCAAGAGAAATTGAGTATGTTTAACAGTATATTATGAGAATATTGAAGTCTTTTGGGTGTGCACACTATGAATTGGCTAGTGAAAGTCTTTTGGAGTGGTTTAATAACCGTCGAGAGTAGTTATATGGCTTATTGTTCTATGTTTCTTTTTAAAGTAAAAAGTATTTTAAATTCAGCATTTAGATACCTGATAGAATTTCTCCCTCAAGATAGCATCTCAAAACTTGAATTTTTACCCTCAAGATAGGTGGAATGAATTTTCTTACACTTAATTAAATCAATAACTTCCAACCTCATAATTTTCATTTATTGTGGTAAATGTATCATCTCTAATAGACAATGCAAGCACCTCGGTTTCGTCAAAAATGTAGCATTGGTTCGAACAGAGAAGTCCACGTACACAATGTCCTGAAGATACTTTTTCCTTTAACTATCAGAGGGCTCCAGGTATGCATTCTTTTGATTGTTCACTAATTTGGCTTATATCACTACAAAAAAATGTAACTTCCACATAACATTATCACTTTAAACCCCATTCTTTCTTAGATTCAGAATTTTGAAGGCTGCATCTTGATTGCATGAGCTTAGATTAAAGGAGGAAGCTTTTCACTAGTTTGTGACATGTACGGTACTTTTGTAAGCCCTTCTTGCCAAATCTTTCATGGAGCCTTTCGACAAAGAGTTCTGCTCCATAGCTCAACACCATTTTTGATAGAAAACAATAGAAGTCGTTGCCAGTGTTATTGAGGTGCACGCCCGGGACGTAGGGCACTTCGACAGGATGAAATCACTTCCAGAACCTGCTGCGGGGCGGCGCACTTAGCAGGTGTGCACCCGAGAACACCTTGTGTACGCCTGGCACATTGCATGGGGCACACAGAAGTGTGCGCCCCATTTATTCTATCCTTTCTTCAAATATCAGCGGGTTTTGGGTATGATACCCATTATTTTCTTAAACCCGTTTTTAAAACTAAACCCAAACCAAAACCCGATCCCTAATTTTTTGTGATATTCTACTGTTTTCTTGTGTTTTTTCCCCAAGCTTTAGTTTCTTTTCTTTACCTTTAGTTTCTAATGGTTTTAAGTTGCCTTTGTTAGATTCTCTTTAGTTTTCTCCTCTCTTTCCTCTTTTTGTTCCTCGATAATTCTTGTAAACTTCCTAAACATCTATGAACTACCTTGTGATCCTAATTAGTGGCTTGTTATCAAAACTTTTTCGTGATTTAGTAGGTGAAATTCTATTTCTTAGCCTTTTTATGTGAAAACTTACAAGTACGTTGCTTTCATACTTGTTTGTCTTGTGTTGGAAAAGATCTATTTGAGGTGTGCGCCTTGCACATGGTGTGCATAAGGGGACTTTGCTCTAATGGTACGATGATAATGAAAAATAGGATAGATCTTAATGCTTTAATGGTTCGCATGTGCTTCAGCTCTATTTAAACCAACTTCATTTTCTGATTCCAGCGGCTATCCTTTCCTTCTTAGCGCTGATTAAGGTGAAATTGGGTTTCTCCTCATAAAAATCTTGATTCTAAGCCACAAAGAGATAATTCGTCTTCTAAGAGTACCTACAGATGTTTTGTTTTCTTAACAAACCTCATTTCTCTACTCTAACTTCACATTTTTCGATGTTTCTAAGTTATCATAAGTTTGAACAAGTAACGTCATTTTCCCGGTGCTATATGTAGGAATCATTTTTGAGTCTGCGACTTTACCGCTCAACAGGATTGTCATCTCCAGATGCATATTGGATTTCTCGATTCCCTTAGTAAGCGTGAATTCTCTCTCTCCTTATTTTATGCTTCTGTTCCAATTATGTTTTATGGTGTCCAATTCCTGAATTACAAAAGTAGGGTTATCAATGTTTCTTTTATGGGAATTCCTATAAAGGCAATACCTTTTCTGACAAATTCAATAAACAACCAAATAAGCGTTGAGCCAGGCTATTATTGATCCTATATTGTATTACAATAAATCCAGATCCTAAATTTGGAGTTTCAAATTGAAAATCAGTATCATCAAATCTAAGGTAATACATATGGATTTCTCAACCAGGAAAAAAAAGTTAGATCGAACTTTACGAAAATTCTGAAATAGTTGATTTCTAACTACATATGATACATGGATAAAACAAGCTAAAATCATTTGGAATTTTTGTTTCTATATGGTCGATTGATATTAGATGAGAGCAGGGAATTTTCAATCACTCAAATCATTTCCAAATAAAAACGGATCACAAAAACCGCCAGAGTTGAACAATTAGGGTTTTCCTTTAAGATATTTTGTCAAATCCTAACCCTAGAAATTAAGTGGCAGACCTGTAAATATCGTAGTTGAGATCTTTGTGGAAGAGAGCAGGGATGTCCTCTCGCAGCGTACGAACAGCGATCCCAACATTAAGATAGAACTCATCCTTCTTCCTCTTCTCCTTATCCTGCGCCGATCCCTGCTTGTCCTGCACCGGGGCAGGCTTATCCTGCGCTGAATCCCGAAGAGGCGGCAGCTCGAGCTTGGTTAGCGGTGAGGGGGAGCAGGGGTAGAACTGTGATTTGGGGAGGGCATTTTGGGAACATCTTCTGTGGTGGGAGAGGAGACTGAGAGGAGGCGGGGATATTTTGCAAAGAAGGAAGGACATTTTGGGGACGGATTTTATTTTTCGTTTCCTTTTTTAGGTTTTCACGACGGAAGGAGGAAGAAGAGAAGAGGAAGTCGGTTTATTATTTTGGGTGGTTTTAAGCGCTCGTAATGAGTGGGTACGATCTTCAGCACTTTTGCAGATTCACCCTTATCATATTTAGTTATTGGTAACTTATACTCTACAATTGTTTTTCAATAAGGACCTTGTTGTTTGCTATTTTACATATATAAGGATGATACTTACTTACTTAGGAGGATATTCTGTGTTATATTCATTTTTATAGGATATTCCATGAAGGCTTTGATGTAAGGCAAAAGTTTATGTTATGCTATAAATTATCATGGCCAGTTTGAGTGAAAAGAGGCGAAGATACTTAAATACATATTTGATAACAATAATTATCTATGACTCACGTAATACGAAGCGGGTAACTTGAAAAATAACCGGGTAACCAGAAAATAAAACTTACCTAACCTAACATTTAAGTGCTAAGATACAGTCTTTCCAGCCAAACCCATCCACCACCCAGCCTAGCATCCGGCTCCAAGTTTTCCTATTTAAGTGGCACCCACATGACACCGCAATTGAAACATGATCTCAATTGCAAATCCTTTCAACGATGTAATTGACATGTTTGACACAACTAATATAGTGTGCGTGCGTTGCACGTGTGTATACTTATTTATATCCTAGATTACTAACATCGTGCATAACCCTAGTTGTACGCTTTGTTATGCACATGTATTACTCATAAAAAATATTATAAATAAACAAGTAATATTGAAAAAATAAAAAGTCTAAAATTCATTTTATATATAGAAAAGCATAGAAAAAGAAAATTGCCACTTTAATTCATTCATCAAATCTATGATGAGGTCCAGCATCTTTAATTACCACTGGTCCTCACTTAAATTTTAATGTCTTAGAGGAAGGAAAATAGTGATCTTCTATATGCATCAATTTTCTTTTCTATCATGATGTTGTCTTAATTTTAATTTATGTTTATTATTCTTGAAGTTATATATATATTTTTTTTGAATTGATCATTGTTAAATTTTCCTTTCAGACATTCTCTAAGTTTGTCTTGACCGTACGCATTCTCTGGCATCTACATATAATTATAGTTTTATAAAAAAGTATGCTAACTATGGTCATAACTTTCCAACCTTTTATATTGTTCCCTTATGTCCATAGGGCTATACATTCTTAAGTTTAAGCCATAACTTTATAATTCTGTACTGTCTCTATTGTAATCTCCTATATCTCCTCAAACACAAAATTCTTGATCTCACATTGTAAGATGAAAATTGTTTGCAAAGAGATCAGTGTTTTTTTTTTTTTTTTTTGGTTCACAAACGCTTTACATTCTCTACATTAATTAATAATTTGCATAGGTTGTAACTTCACACAAGCTAAGCTTATTGTTTCTCGATGGGATAAAAATATAACAAAGATTGTACACACGAAAAAAAAAATTCAACTCAATAGGCAGTCAGGTCGAAATTTAAACTACTATAATCTCATAAGTAGATCCTCCATTCAACCAAAGAACTAACTTTAATTTTCATTATGGCAATCCAAATCACATCAAGTTGAGTCATCTCAATAACAACTAAAATCACATAAGAATTATTCTCAAAAAAGTCACATCAAATTTACATATTTAAAAGTAAATTGAAAGAGTTCTAACTTAACTATAGAGCGACATGCGCTAGTATTTAGTCAAATTTGATCACTAAAAGAATTTAATAGTCTTTGCTTCACTTATCCTCCCGTAAGGATCCAAATCGAGCTTTTAATTGAGTTTTTTTTATATAATCTGAATGACCCAATACACTCAACATGGTCTCTGTGGCCCAACACTTGCATTTAATAATCTGAAAGGCGTGACAATAGTTTAGGCTAAGAAATGTCTCGTCGATGAGGAAAAAGAGGAAACTTCAATGTTGCATGATTCTAGATCCATTAGCGACTCCCAAGATTGGCTGCGTTGTCGGCATATGGTCTATCCTCTAGTGGTTGAATGGGCTTAACCTAGAAAGTCAAAGATAGGAGGAACAATGAGAGTAAGAAAAGGATTAAAAACTTGCCATCTTGATTGACTGGAATTTTGGTTGAAGAAAATTAGAAGAGGCTTATAATGTTTCTATAATTGGTGCCAATAAATTCTTATTTAGTGAATAATTGGTGTCAATAAATTCTTATTTAGTGAAGAGCAAGATGTGAAGAGTTATAAAATTTTCTTTCTTTTTTAGTTGAGGAGTATGGATTTATATAGAGATTGAGAAATGTTTATAGGTAGTGGGAACTTTATTTTGGGAAAATTAAGCATAAAAACAGATCCAAAACAGTACAGAAAAAACCATACAGGAATGAAAAAGAGAGCAGAAAGTTAGAAACATCTTAGTAAATCACTTCAAGTTAGAAATACTTTACAGAAGCGTTGAATCTCCCTCTTAACAGAGGACTGGCCTTGAAGAAATTATGCCCCACCTACAGTAGCGTTGGGTCTGCACAGTACTTCTGAGGATGAGACGGTTGCAGTCCAAAGAAACACTCTCTTCTTGTGAATATCTCGACTACTTCTTCAGATCGCCAGAATCTCAAATACTAAATAGCTTATAGAATTGAAAAAAGAAGAAGAAGACAGGAGATTTCATTTTCTGTTCTATGTCTTTCAAATGATCAGAAGAGGCCCTTTTATAGGGTTCATGGGAGACAAATGTTTGAATTCCAGTTATTGCAGCGTTTGTAACGTCTACAATAAAACCTATTCAATCCTTATAACGTTTGTAACATACGAAATGTTCAGCTGGTTTTAAGTGAGCACATGCAAAACGTTTAAGTTGTTTTAAAGCACAACACGTACAAAAAGAGCACGCGCCAGCACACTCGTCGGACCACGCACTAGGACCGTACACTCGGACCGCACACCCAGACCCACGTAC